TGAGCACATGTTGTGCCAGACTCATGTGTTTGAATCCAGCTGAGACCTGCACGGATTAAGTTCAACAGTTCAACAAACCAAGTGCCTTATATTATGTTAATTAGACTAATACGACTGCATTGTTCTTGTGACCTATGGTTCCAAGCATTTGCAATAACACTTTACTGTATAGATTAAACATCAGATCCGCTGGAACCCCAAGTGTGAAGTGCACACTTTGGCTCAATCAGGAGACTATACATGGACGATCCACTCACGTCGAGGCTTCCCCGACTCCATAGGATTCCTTGAACTCCTCAATGGCGTCCAACCCCCACTGTTTCACACACTCCACAAAGCACTGCGTTTTGGGCGCAAAGGGGTCAAACTCCTCCTCGTTCTGGTTTTCAACCCAGTGGGCCTTGGGCAGTGGGTGATGTCACAACCAAAACACTTTGGTGGGGTTGGGGCATCCGTTGTGTTGAATGGAACAGAAAGCTGATTGAACGAGGGAAACCTGAGGATTGGGCAGTATACTTGGCACAAGCCATTGCAAAGGCGATGTTCACAGTGTCGGCAGGCTTGAAGCTAAAGTATGCAAACTCCTTGTTGGATCTCCACGTCGGACGACCCTTGCACTTCAAACCTACCGCGGGCTTCTTACGGGTCCAATAGGTACTGAGGGTGACCTTGTCAAAGTTGGACTTTGGAAAGTCGTCGGCTCCAAGCTGAGAGACTCCAGACTTCCAATGGTAAGCCAAGACTGACATGAGCTCTTGCTTGAAGTCTGGATCCTCGCGAAAGGGTTCTTCAGCCTGTGAGGCTGGTGCTGCCTGACGCGGCAGCCTTTCGCGGCGCGACGCTGGCCGACTGGGTCCAGGACTGGGTCTGGGCTCACGCTGGGAAGCGGAGACTGCATCACTAGCGGTGCCTTGATGTTTTTTGGAGGCCCCTTTAGGAGCACGAGGCTTCTTGGAGTTGGATCCCTCTTCAGCTTCAAGCCTAGAGTCCTTTCTTGATGCCCTGACACGCTTTCGGGACTCCCTCTGAACAGCCTTGGTAGAACCTGGGTGCCCTTTGGGCACATCCTTGGGGTGTTTTTCGGTAGGATACCCCGTAGGCATCAAGGCATCAACTTTGCCAGCATGGTTCTTTAGCACCTCCCGCTTACCTTTCTTGTTGGACTTTGTGGTCCGCTTCTTTTTGCAAACCTTGGAACCATCATCCCCTGTCCCCTTCGCAGGCATGTTAGGTGAAGGTGTTTCCGGAACCTTGGAAGCTGAAGATCCGGCAGCATGTTCATGTTTTGTCCTGCGCGCTTTGCGCACTTGAATGCTCTCAGACTTGAACGAGTCCTCTTTGACCTCTGGTGTCTTGGTTTTTGGTTTGCTCGCTTTCGCTTTGCAAACTGCTTTGGCCTTGGCCTTGGCCTTTGCCTTTGCTTTCGCTTTTGCTTTGGCTGATGCTGATTTACCTTTTGGCTTTGCAGATCCTTTCCCCTTCCCTCTGGAACCTGTGGTGTCAGAAGGATCACCTTCCTCTTCACTCTTTTTCTTCTTGGCATTCTTGAGTGCCATTTGCTCACGCTTGGTTACTACCTTAGATAAGCGCAACCATAAAAAATATCCGGGATGCGTGGGATGGTGCTAAACACATGTTTGACTTTCACCTTTAGCAACATACTTGGAAAAATCAAACAGCATGAATGAATCCTGCATAGATGCTTTCCGACCAGGAACCTCTTCAGACGAACCAGGCTTCTTCCGAAAAGTCTCAACCGCTTCGCGAAGATCACTAGAAATAGAAGGTGACGGTTTGGGTATCTTGCCTTCAGCAGGTTCAGCCAGAGGCACAGCTTCGGCCTGCGCAGGCTCAACCGTTCGCGCAGCTTCAACCTGCGCAGGTTTAACCGTCAGCGCAGCTTCAACATGCGCAGGTTCAACCGTCTGCGCAGGTTCAAGCAGTGCAGGTTCAACTTGAGGCGCAGGTTCAACCAGTGCAGGTTCAACTGGAGGCGCAGGTTCAACATGCACAGGCTTTGGCGAAGGCTGTGCTCGTGGGGATAGAACAAAAGTATCCATCATGTCCGTGCCATATGGCAAGGAGTCCTCCATCACCACGTGGACACCTGCAAAATTATTCCATGGTGCTTGGTTCAAAACTGTTCAAGACACGCACATCACACACCCCTTTGCAGCACACATTGCACGACAGTCTGGGCATGACCCGGCCTTCTTCGGAAGCAGCCATTGCAGCTGCGCGGGAGGTGATCCGCCTGCATGGGTAGACATGAAGTCGTGCACACATAAGTTGGAAGGAAGTCAGGACATGAGCCTGGCCTTTCCAACTGCTGCTGAATCAGCTGGATCATGCGCTGCATCTCTGCCTTGTCCGTAGACTGCAACAAAGTCTTCTTGACGTCCACTGACGGGGATGGAATCAAAGAAGAATCACCTAAGTGGAACTCATGGAATTAGACCCGAGCAATCCCGAGCACGCCTTTGGTTGACCAAGGGGTCTTGTTCCAATACATTACATGCAGAAGAATGACAAGCTTCATCTTCCGAAGACAAGATTTCCGCAACATCGTCTGAGATAAGCGGGCGCAACCTCTTGCGCAAAGGACGGGCAGAGTCCAACACCCTCTCGTCAGGGGAGACCAGCTTGGCATGGTTGGGAGTCTCGATCGCCTACCGTCAAGGCAACAGCAAACTGAATGCAAAATTTGATGTTGGTGAAACATGGTTGCTATGGGCCCGGAAATGCCCGGATGCATCTCACCACCTACCAATGTACTATGAAACCCCAGCCTCCTGTTCTTCCTCAGGTTCCTCAGCATCTTGAATGTCTTCAGGTCCAAGTTCTGTGATTTCCTGAGGAACATTGGGCAGTGCCGCATAGGGCTCCTCTGGGAAATTCGGATGTTCAGGTTCAGGAGGTTCTGCCACTTCTTCCACCGGTTCCTCAGCAAGATTCGACTCCTGACTCTCACCTTCTTCTGAATCGCATTCATCAGGTTCAATTTGTTCGTCCTCCTCATCATCGATGTTGTCCTTGCAGGCCACTGCTGAGTCAAGCAGAACCAGAAAGAAGAACCATGCAAAAACAGCCAAGGCATGCATGGCATTATCATGCAAGTATGGCATCTCCTCCTCATCAGGAGCATAAGGAGCTTGCTGGTCAAGATGATGTTGATGGCGTTCAATTCTCTCCTGGAAGGCCACTAAGCGTAGTGGAAAAGCATGGAACGGCTGTTGGAGCAACTGAACATCAAATACAGTACTCTAACCACACGTACTCTTAGTTGGTTGCTTCCTGGGCCGCGCCTGCAATTCTGGGAAGTACACCAAAAGAAGTTCATGGAAACCTGTGTCCTTAGGTGCTCGGGTGGGCAGGGTCACTGCTTGTTCGTTTGTGAGTATGGGAAGTTCCAACCTCCATCACAAATCTTGAAAAGAGACCCTCCCTACCAATTGTAAGTAGATGGCAGTAGCAAACAGCCTTTAGATAAATCAAAGTCTCTCTGGTCAGTTCTCCTCTTTGACCCTTTCGCTTCACAAGACCGCATCCATGCTTTACGGCCCATGCCTGCCTATAAATCAACTCCTCAGATGTTTCCAAGTTGGACAGGTTGTAGGCCTTTTTGATTTGCACCATCAGCGGGCCAATCTCCGGCAGGTTCCGTGTCCTGGGATGTTTTGTATAACGTGGGCCGGGGGAAAACGGATACGACAGAGCACGTATCACATTCCCTTAAAAGTCGACCCTTGGAGGTTTACAAAGTTAGGGTGGAAGGTGAGATCAACATGATCAACTAAGAAACATTATATAAATAAAGAAGACTAAATAGTATAGCTGGGCATCCGATTCGCCGTATGAGCACTAGCTTCCAACGCCAGCTTGAGACATTCTTTGTTCAAAGAACAAGTCCGTGTAGTTGCCTTGAAGACAAGCTCACCGCTGAGCAACATAAGCTCGCCCACCTCCCTCATGTTTTTGCGGGTTGTTTCGCACTGATCCCACGCTTGCCCAAGTGAATCCAATTGGTTTAAGGGCTTTCGTGGCATTCTCAAAGAAGTTGCCAAAGCCTCTCACTACCTGTCTCTGAAACTTGAGCCTCAAAACCCCCTGCGCAGAGCCATTGGTTTTTTGGTCCATCGCCGATCGCTCGTGCTGCAGGACATGACCGTGCGCAAAGATAAAAAAATGCTCTGGGAACCCGGACGGGTCTGATTGGATTCGAGGCCATCAATAGGCACAGCGCTTCATGGGACAGGCATGAATATGGTCAAAAGAAAGTATTAGGGCTGCGTGCCCACACACAGCTGTTGGATTAGTTAAGTGTGTCCATATGATATGTGGAGTTGCTTTCAGTTGAGGCAAGGCACTTCATGGCCAAGGTGTTTGGACTGCTATCCTATAGGTCCTTGCGGACATCTTTTTCTTAAAAGTGGTGAGCATGGACTCATGGCCAATCCTTTTGACATGGATCCTTTTGATCCTTGAATATCCTTGATGTGACCGCAAAGAGTGGTGGTGATATGGTCAAATAGTTAGATCAAAGGGGAGACCAAGGTGAGATACACTTCACTTTCAATGTAGAAAGGTACAAGTCAGGTTTTTAGGTACAAGTCAGGTTTTTACCTCACTCATGTGTACAACCCCGGCTTTATACTTCAGACCTTGATTTTTTTTGGTTCTAGTTGCGGGGGGTATATATATATATATAGGTACTCCATCACTATTAGTGTATGAAATTGCGTACGCCACATGTTCTATAGGGACTTTACCCAGTCACAAGAGACTCTTGTTGGCCCTTTTGATCGAATCATCATGGCCGCGTTGAGAGTCGAACGTGGATCACTACAGAAGAGTTGTTCCCCCTCCAATCATTTGAACACATATGGCATGGGCACGGGCGCCTCCTTCCGCCAAAGCATGGAAGAAACCGTGGAAGTGGACCAACCATGACCAGAAATGACGGGTCATTCGGTCCGCTGTCCGACTGTCCGTTTCTCCAGGTGGATGAGACCCTACAACTGATGGAAGACTCACGTCAACTTTCAAGCATGTTGCTACATAGCGGTAGCAAAGGGTTGGCAGGGAGATCTTTGCTGGACTTTTGCGCGAAGGAGGACCACGCGCGCATCTCCCAGCTGTTTCAGTCCTCCATCGCTTCTGAAAGTACCTCAGTCATGGCCCTCAATGCAGATATGCTCGATTCGGATCAGAATCATGTGAAAGTTGAAATGTTCCACGCTCAATTCCAGAATCTCGCCAACAAGAGATCCTTCCTGGTCGGAGTGCGGGAGATCCAGGCTGGGGAAGCACTCGGCCCCATGCTGCCAGAGCGCTCTCCCAGTTCTGCTATGCGGTCAAGTGGTGCAACATTTGTGGTATTTGACGTCATCACCTTTGACACTCGGCCGGGTCGATTTTGGTTTGTTCCGTCTGCCAACGTGTTCTGTGCATCCACGTTCGTCAGCCTCTCTGAGACGCAGAAGCGATCCGAAGTTGGTTCTGGAAAGACATGTCGTTCTCAAGATTCTCTCGGCATAACATATGTTTGGTTCTTCAACTCACTCCATCCTGGACCAAAACGGGCCTTTCTTTCAGAGGCTCGTTTTCATGCTTCAAGCTCGTGAATGGGGCCCCTGAAGACATCTGAGGACCAAGAGATCATCCGACGACCTAGTGATTGATTGGTTATTTGCTTCGGTTTCTGTGATTCCCACAAACCGAATGTCCCCGGTTCCAAGGCAAAGCCATGCAATGCCCCCAAATAATCCCATGCTTGGTTTAGGGAATGGTTCAACAAAATCCCACGCTTGGTTTGGTGGGATTTCATGGTTCCTGTGAATTTTCCAGGTTTGTTCCAGTTCATGGACCACAAATCAAAGCATGGAGCACTTCTCCGCCTCAGGATATTCTGGTTCTCAGCCATGACTTGAAAGATCAATGCCAGAACTGCCTGGGAAGGACTCCGGAGACGCATGGTGCGAGAGTGTGTTTTTTGCAACCCCAGCATGTCCAGTTTGATCATAGGAACCGGATGAAGGCGGAGCTGGAGCGACTTAGGGGGGTAACAGGACTCCCTCACTGTCACTACACGGTACACACCTTTCTGAAAGCGGCTTGAACGACGAATGTGTATTACGATCCCAGTTGTTGTGAGTCTCATCCACCTGCTCGTTGTTGGTGCGCCCAGTGAACAACCCTATAGCTAGTATAACCCAAACGCTCCATGTAGGTACGTAAATATGGCCGTAGGCAAATATGGACATATGGCCTGCATGCGTGGGTGGTTTCAGTAGTGAATGCAGTCCATGTTTAACCGCATGGATCATGTGGGTAATTGTGGGTATATATCGTAACAAACAATGTAAATACGGCGAATACAGTACTTACCGTATTGCACATGCACTTTTGATTGTTTTCTTTTGTGTCGGGGGGACTCGATCCACGAGAAGTCGCATGTTGCGTTCGTCCAAGTGATGGCCAGCTGTTTCGGTCTCCGTCGCGCCCGGGGCCCGGTGTGGTTTCGTTTGCAAAGGAATATCTTGGAGATTTCCAGTGGGCCGTCGCGGCGGATGTTTCAATCGACCTTGCAGTCTGCGACGAACCGAAGTTTGAACCTTCCAGATACTGGGGAGCAGAAGCTTCTATTCAGCCTGGTTGGGACGGGTGAAGTGACCGCTTCTTTGGTGGCCGAGTATCTCCGCTGCACTGAACAGCGTGGTGGTTAGCTGTAAGGATCTGTTTCTGACTCAGTAGATGCTATGCCTCGGAGCACGACCCATTTTAGTATAATCTTTATAATCATTCGAGAGGGGTTGCTTGGGCTCCCAAGCATTTTTGCACTCCCATCCATCTAATTAAGAGAAAAGCCATCTAAGGGTCAAGAGAAGCTCTTACAACGTCGTGCGGTGGTCGCGATCTTCTTTGTGAGTCACGATGGGTCAAAAAACAATTAGCCCTTTTTGGACTCTCGACCGCACAGCCAAACAAAGCAAAGCCAACGAACCCGGCGACCGAGCCGGGCGCAAAGCGGACCCCCAAACAAGCTGAAGATGTTCACCCAGACAGGATTCTTTTTGCAGGTTCACAGCTCATTTTTGTTAATATGAATGAATTGGATCTCGCTTCTCTACCTGTTTTTGATCTCTTCGTTCCTGTTTCTCATACTCACCCGTTATGTGGCTCGTGCTTCGTTCCGACTCCGTGTCAAAAGTCGACTTTCGTGACAGGCGCAAGAGATCGGAGATTTCGTGGCAGGTGCAGCACCTTGGACATGGTGGTGATCTTCGCGGCGCTCTGATTTCGTGACAGGTGCAGTGAATGGTGGCTTTTGGACATGTGGCTCGTTTGCAGAGTTCGTGGCAGGCACAGCACTTTGTGAACCTCGATCTGCAGGTTTCGTGGCAGGCGCAGCACTTTGTGAGCCTCGATGTGCAGATTTTGTGGCAGGCACAGCGCTTTGTGAACCTCAAAATGCAGATTTCTTTGCAGGCGCAGCACTTTGTGAACCTCGAAGTGCAGTTAGTGGCATGCGCAGCACTTTTGTGCTCTCACAAGCTCAATCTAACTCTCTCTCTCTCACTCACTCTCACTCTCTCACTCTCACTCTCACACTCACACTCACTCACTCTCTCTCTCTCTCTCACACTCTCACTCTCCACTCTCTCACATTCTCACTCTCACATTCTCTCATTCTCACCCACACTCACACACTCACACACTCTCGCTCACTCTCACCCTCACTCTCACCCTCTCACACTCGCACTCACACTCACACTCACTCTTTCACTCTCACTCTCATTCGCTCCCGCTCTCTCTCTCACCCTCGCTCACTCTCACTCTCACCCTCACCATCACCCTCCCTCACCGTCACCCTCACCCTCACCCTCCTTCGAAGGGCCGATCCTGTCCCTACTAAGTACCGCCTAGAATAATGCCTATGTTATATACATGCCCATATGTATATATATATATATATGAGACATGTGATATATATTTTTTCAGTTGTATAATCAACCCAGACACGGGATATTATGGAATATATCAGTCAAAGTGGACCCCCCAAATCAACCAATGGAGTGTTTGAGTATTACAACGCAATATCTACTTACATCTCTCAGTGGGTCACCGGACCAGCTGAACCAGTCGTGATTTAGGTATTGCACCATGTTTAACCGGTGCTTTAGCAAAACGGGAGCTGGAAGCTTGAACAAGCAATGAAAGCCCATGAAAATGACGTGAAAAACATGTGAAAACAGGGTGAAAGACCGTAAAACAATGTATGGAAATTGGGAGGTGAAATGCGTCCTTTACCCTCACGCACCAGTTGCACCAGTCCTTTTGGACTTGCTGGGTCTACGTGACATTCCATTTGGCGCCAGATGACTGGCACTTCCTAGGTATGACGCTGTGCTGGACACCCATGTGGGCACCTTGGACATCCAGCTACGACGTCCAGGTCGCCTCACAGAGGTCGGCCCGTTCGGTTGTCCGAACATGTCCGAGTTCGGCATCGAAACGAGGTGACTGGACCCGACCCTGGCACCTACATAACAGTGTCTCCAAGCACCTAACCTGAGAAGGTACTGGGATCCAAATTCTAGGGGATGGTTCCCCCAACCTTGGAAATCCAAATCCCATGATTCAGGGGGTTTCGATTCTGAGTCACTTCACTGACTCTGCCCGTGAAACTTTGCGCTGCCCGTGCTGACTCGTCGGTCGCATGGTATCGACGATCAGACCCAGACCATCCACCAGGTGAAACCCAGACCGAAAAAGCTGGCAGTCCGTCGGGTCGTCTCCGAAGGCCTCGGGTCGAACGAGTTCGAGACCTTGTTCAAAAGGGTGCCTAAGGGTGCTGGGATGTATGGAAGAGTTCAGTACGTTGGGATCTCAGGTGGTTCATATGAAACCACCCAAATCGGCCATATTTGCTCAGCCTGGGGAGTGTTTGGGTATGTTTGGGTATATTTGTGCCTTAGCCTTCCAATCCAAGACCATTGAAGCACTGGATATGTTTTATGGTAATTACAATGATTCTTTGGTAAAGACCAAACTAGAAACATTAAAATTCAGTGCATTTGCAATCCTATAGGGTCCATAGAGCTTTGGCTTTGAACCTGCGCTAGGTGCGTGTGCTACAGCACGATCAAGCCTCTTCTCGCCGCTCCCCGCACTCTTCTCGCCGCTCCAGCTCCCGTCGCTCGAGCCGCTCCTCACGGGGTTCGCCGGCGCATTTGCCGGGGACCAGTGGATCCATCGGAGCACTTCATTCCACGATGGCCTTGTAGGCTCAGAGGGCTGAGGATGGCTCACAGGGCTGAGGTAGAACCAGGAGGAACGGAGGGTGAGCATGGATTTTTGCTCAAAAAACAGACCCGAGATGGGTGAGATGGGATCGGATGGATTCCTTCCGGAATTGCATGAATTCAGAAAAGTTACGTTTTTAATGTGCAATCCTTTTCAGACTACTGAGCTTCGCCTTTGAGTGGCCTTTTTCCGGGATGCGGCCAAAAGTCCTGCCCCAGGCCCGATGATGATTCGATCGGTGCGCAAGTCAAAGAGGAGGGTCACGGCATTCGAGAATGGATCGAAGCAAGCTCGTCAATTACAGTATATACGGTATTTAGACCACCCACGGCGGTGTGGTTTATAGACGCCCCCTGACCATGTGATTTCCATCCCATCACCACATATCACCACCCTTTGGGTGGTGCTGGTATTAGAGTTGAATGTGTTGAATTAAGAACTTGCCGCATAATATCCTTACCTACGGCTGGCACCAGGCTGGTGTAGCCACTAGGTACTCTATTTGCATAATAGTACTATTAACTAATTAAATATTTAACATAATGGATCTTGCCGATATCACCGGCGGCCACCACGCAGACTCCGCCAAGCAGCAAAAGGTCTCCATGTTGATTCATACGTCCCTCCCAACAAATATGGTTAGACTGTATATTGAATATTGATCTCCATGTTTGCGGGCGTTGGACAATCATCTCAAATCACCTATGACAAATCCCAAATTTTAGGGGTCCCTGTGGAATTCAGCCCCTCCAGCCTCCCCATTTCGGGTCGAACCACGCCTCGTCTTCCCAAGGCGGGCAAAGCCCAAGAGCTTGGCGTTCGACGGCCCAGTGGGACGGCACGGCGTCCCCAACATCCGACTGGAAGATTTACAGTACCCAAGGACGTAAGGTAGAAAGAGCGCTACTAGGGGCTCCGGGCATCGCTACTAGGAGCAAGGATGAACATGTGAAACCGCTCGCTCATCTTGAAAATCCGACAAGAGGTCCTCTTCATATATGGGGGGGGAGTGACTAATCATTGCTCAATTATTACCCTATATGGATCCACCAGAACTTTCTCGGGCTTGGTACAACTGGATCCTGAATGTCCGCATGAAAGTGTCGAACACATCACTTTCTCAGAGGGTATGTGGTATGTGGATCCATAGGGCTTCATTGGCTGCATTGAACAATGAAACCCACCTTCAAACGACCCACCCACATGGGCAAACGTTGCAGTCCGGATTGTTGGGGATTCGTGTGGCGGAGCTAGGACCAGAAGGAAGAACCCAGCGGACTGGATGATGACCAGGAATTACGACGCTCCAGTAGATAGAAGAATTTTCCACCTGGGGGTGGCCTTGAGTCGTCGAAGAGAGAACGGGGGATCCAAATAGGCCGTGGATCCAGGGACCCAGGACTAGTGAAAGCCGGTGCAGGAAGGCCCTCCTGTTAGTAGAGGAAAGCGTCTCTTCACTCAGCGCACTAGCGCACCAGCCTTCGCTTTGAAGGCTGTGGATCATTGATCCATTGGGGAAGAAAGGATTGGTGTGCTGTTCGTTTGAGCAAGCAGCTGATGGCTCAGAAAGGAATCATACAGTCACAATTCAAAAGTGTCATTGTGTTTTGCTGGCTCATGTCCAAAGACAGTCGCCCTACTGCGAGACAGTCTCCTGCAGTGGCTTGAGTTTGCAGCCTTTCGTAAGCTCACGAAGCCATGATCCTCAGTATCAACAATCAAAGCACTGAGCACTGAAAACCATTGCCAGACAACAGCTCCACCAAAATACGGGCTCAGCATGTTCCGTGAGATGAAACCTTGAAAGGTTGTAAGATGTATATGGTAAGCACTTTAGCACTGCCACAGATTGGTTCATCAAACCATATCAAATCTCCAAATCTCATCCGCGCCGAATGAAGCGAAAGGCGGAAGGCGTTAGTGATCGACCACGGCGGGGTGTGAGCCCCAATGTGGTGGCGCTGGAGGCGACCAAACAGATGGATGCCTGGATTTGCTTAGGAGGGTGGTGTTTTTGGTCCCCTTTGGGTGAATCCCCTTTGCCATCATCATAGCTACTAGGAGCAAGGACGCTATTAGGTGGAGGCCATCGCAAGTAGGTTGGAGGCCATCGCTACTAGTAACAATTTAGGAAGCTACTACTATATGATTGTTTGCCTGCGTTATCCTTTTTCCATGTCCGAATGGATGCAAAATCCCAAGGAGGCCTTCTGTGAGATCACGGAGGCTGTGGAGATCTTCCGAATGGAGGCGCGTTCATGATCTTGTCATGGATGGGAAGATCGTTGTCATGATCTTGAGAGGTTGGTATCTTGAGACTCCGGGATCCGACTTTCCACTAGCCATCCAATCAACAATCAGATCAATCAGTGAAAAGGCCTCAGAATTGGGGGGGTTGAGAAGGGACCCGGAAAGACGTATTTTCCTCTACAAACCAGCTATGTTTTCAGGGTCCCTGGTTAGCTTTCCACGGGGGTAGTTTCAGGGAAGGGATTGCTGTGGTTCTACGGCTTCCACGTCCTTCAGGACGAGGCGACGAAGCAGTTGATGCACGGAGCGGTGTGCACGGCGGATGGCGGTGGGGGCCACGTCTTCTTCGAGGACATTCGGTTGAATCCCTTTGAGGCAACGATGAAGGTGTCGTTCCTCAGCTGAGCAGGTAGTCCAACACCAGCTCGCCGGTCACCGATCCCAACGATCCGATGTGTCAAGCTCCATGTTGGCACTGGATTCTCTCCCCGGAAGGGCTGAAGAATAAGATTCTGGGCCATAAAGCACATCGACGAACATAAGTGAGCTTGCTCAAGAGTCTTGGGTAGGCCTAAGAACCTTGCCCTTCTATATTCTTCCCAAATATGTAGGGGGACGTGGTCAAGTACTCTAAATTAGGCGACTACCTCGATACTAAGCTACAAGGCTTTTGGTTCAAGTTCCAAAGGATTGTCGATCAGGCAACCGACTGGGGTTGGATTTGCCAGGGTGGTTGGGCGATTCCACTCATCGAGCTCGAGCAGCTCAGATGAGTCACCGTCCCCTCCCGGTGAGGTTCGAAGAGTACCGCGGGGATTCTGCCACTAGCCACGTGATCTTTGCCGTCAACGTGCCCGATGCGCCGCAGATCGCACAGAAGATGCTGGCCTCGGAGGTGCTGGGGAGCCTTGGAGGAAGACTGGCCTCAGAGGTGCTTCGGGGCAGGATTTCTTTGACAGATGCTGGGGCGATTTCTTTGCGGTGGGGAAGGATACGGTCTACTGAAGTGATATGCTCCATGTGCACCACGGGTCGTGGCTGGATCCGGTGGGTTTTTTCCGGAAACACATGGGTCGACGGACGTGCAAGACCTCGCTGAGGACGTGCCGGGAAGTCGTCCCAGTGGCGAAGCAGTTCTGGGGAGCAGAGTGCCTGGGCTCGACCGATGTTTCATTTGTTTTCCTGTCCGTAACGTTTTCTGACCGGTTCCTAGAAGACACGTTCAGCTTCTCCATTTCTAGGAGATTGGATCTCAAAACCAAGATCTGGGTGAGCGTGTTTGCTTGCAAGACTTCACCTAGACAAACAACCACAGACATCATGCACCGCGCTCCAATCGAGTACTGGGAAGAATGGCAGACTATCCAAGTCCAGCTCACCTTGGTCCCTCAAAATCTAGAGATTTGAGACCCCAGACCCTACATATCAGGCTCCATGAGCGTTTGGGTTGGGCTGACTCCATATTTCACGGGATGCAGCAGTTGTCCTTTTGGACCATGGAGAGTGTAGACCATTTGGCTACAAGAAACGGGTCGCAGGTTTGGAATTCTTCAGGACGGCTGCGGCTTTTTGCGCCCTGGGGTGCAAGAAGATTGGGGCAGGTTGGAGTTTTTTGCAGGACAAAAACTTGGGATTGTAGTCGAAATAGATGTCCTCCTGGCTGTCAACTGGACTAATTACTAAACTCTTTTTTGTGCCCCACCTACTCAAAAACCGTCTACTGGAGGATCAGGGATCTTTTAGACATTGGCCTACTGCCTACCCCATCAAGCACGGGACGATGTTCCCATCCACACCACGTCGGATGTGCTTGGAGCCCTAAGGGTTACCAAGGGAATCACCAACGATCACCAACGCATACATGAGCAGACATGTATGGAACCACCCCCCCTGCCCTTGGTGGAGATGGCCAGGGTGATCCAAGGGAGAACTCGATGTTTGCCACCTTAGCCATTCATTGGAGAGCCAGATGCCTTTTCGAGCCTCACACTCTTCCCAAAGTGAGGCAAGACACCTAAGGCCCTGTCTCCTAGGCCCTGAAGTGGTGCCATTGATGTGAAATGGCAGAGTTCAGGGCCTGCCGATGCTTTGCCGATGCCGTTGCTTCGGAGAAACAGGTAGTTCCACTAGAACCGGTCGCACTGGTCGGAGGGGCTCCTAAGGCTCCTTCTCCAACCCGTCCGGACGAGTGTTTTGCGTCGTTCCAAATGGTCACGTGTCTTGCTGACGGTCGCCTTCAGGAAATCCATGTTCGCCCGCAGGTGGCAAAACGTATTCAGAGGATGGTGCCATGTCCTCCGCTGGCGCAGGTGGCGAAACAGGTGGCCCACCGCATCACCCAGCTCCAACCGGTCCTCCGAGGTCTCGAGACCCGCGGGCGGGCTCCGCGGTCTCCCGGAGCCGTCTTCAAGGATTCATGGCCCGACTAGTCCACCAAGTGCAGTCTCGTCCCGTCTAGTCGGTGATTGGTCTTTGAAACACACCAGAACACACCTATCTTAAAAACCGGCAGGTCTTCATACCCTACCAGTCCAGTCTGACCCAGCAAAACTGGTCCTTGACCTTCTTGAATGGTGTTTTGTTGTATGACCAACTTCAGTAAAATGAGTCCACTGACTTGCAGGGATGTGGTCTCCACCTTTTCCATTCAGTCTCAGGTGGTCTTTGTCGACCAAATCGAACGACACCACCGCTGCGTCTCCGGACCCGGCACCGGTGCGCTCGCTGGTGCGGGTGCCGGATGCAGCCAAGTACCTGACCTTTCTCAAGGAAGTCTTTGGCGACCCGGTGCACTGGGACGTGCTTGTCTGGAACATCCGACCCTTTTCCTGGAATTTCTTTGTCCCCCAAGCAAGCTGGAAAGGGGTGTGAGCCATGAACTGCGATGGACGAGTTTAGGCCGGCGAGTCTTTTAGGAAATAAGTCTGACAGCTCTTGGCCCCCGTCCCTTTTGGGGGATGTGGCTCTTGTGTCCGGGGTGCAACTTCAGGAGCTCGTCCCGAGGTTTGGCCAAGAGCTTTGCAGCATTCCAACTGGGCAAGCCTCTATATAGTGTACAACTGACTCTAGTTGCTTTGATGAGGAAATGGGATGAAATCGGATCGTTGGACGGCGTGGCCATTGGGGGATGGGATCAACAGCACTTCACCAAAACACATTTACAGACTTGTTCTTGAGTTGTTACATGTTGTTGCTGTCTGCCGGTTTACTGGTTCACCTCTCGTGAAACCAAGTTCTGCCGCCCAACCAAAAAGCCGGTACAGGTATCTCGCAGGTATGATGTGTGTCAGCCTTCTACTATGATGAGCCAAGATGAACTCAACCATGTATGGGAGAGTCAATCCGTTGTCTATTTGGCTCACTTCTCTTTTGTTGAGTGCTCGGGCAATGGTCGAAGACACAGTCTCAGAAGAAGGTGGTTGTGCCAGGGGTGCTGTTGACTGCAACTGGGCGTGCTTCTTGGCTCAGTGCGTGGGAGCAGAACCGTGCCAAGCAATACTCCAAAGTGCCAAAGAAACCGTCGAAGCAAGCGTGAGGGAGCGCTGCGAAACAGAGTTTGCAGGATGCATCACAGGGTTACCCCACATACACTTCCTCTCCAAGCACATGTTTTCCTTGAAGGTCTTTTTTGTAAGAATCACAAGAAACAATTAGTCCTTAGGCTGCCTCTTCCCCACAATGCAATCTGTAGGAAGGGTTTGAAGAATTTATTGTTCACAGTGGCTGGGTCGCGTGGCCATGGGGGTTTCACATCCCAACACTCATCTTCCAAGCCGCGTGGGCATTGGGGCGCATTTCTGCCCAGTAGTCCACTTTTATATATTCCAAAGTGACAGGCATGTAAATTTACAGGCGTGGGCTCCAAACAAGTCAATCTTCAAAAATAGGTTGTGAACGCGTGGCCATGGTGATTGAGACAGCATGATGTGACTTCACACGTGCTGATGTGACTTCACGCTTCACTCGTGGCCATGCGGTGATGCTGCTCCACACGCGCTGATGTGACATAACCCAACCCCTTGCACCAGTTTGTACCCGCCAAATGGCTAATTGGGGTGGTTTCTTGGTTCCGTGGTCGGCTTTGAAGTTTTGCTGTGCTTCAGCGTGTTGGTTGCACAATGCTGATGTTGCAGTGCTCATTCAATCAGCTCGGATCATTCCCGCGTCCTGCAACATGTCGGTGCATATTCGGTGCATTCTACATGTTATACAACTAGAGTTGGTTTTATATATAAAACCGTATAAAAACCACTATTCAATGAAGTACCTGCTTTTACTGGGTCAAAAACAGGACCGGTAATGACCTGTAGGGAACAACACATATAGTATTATAGCATATTATAGCATATAAAAACTAGTATACTAGAACAGATGAAGTCGGAAACTGTGAGAAAGGATGAGGAGCGTGTGCAGGACAGAGGTTGTAAAATAGTAGCGAACCTGTGTAGAGTGCAGCACTTCGCCGTGACCATTGCCTGACCACTGCCTTACCTACCTCATAGGCACTCTCTCCCTCCCTTCGACACCCATTCCTCGAGTCTAGCGATCCTGTGTACAGTAAAGGGGGCCTTTTGGAAATCCGCCGTTGCCTCACAAACATTCTCCCTCCTTTCCACCCCCATTCAGGTGATGCTTTGGTGGAAAAGAAACTGACCAAAGATACCGACCTCGGCCTTCTGGATGCTGATTTGTTCCTTCCTCAGAGGGACAGTGGCTATGGGGGGGAGGCCAATGGAGTGAGGCTTGGGAGGTGACTTGGGGAGACTGGCCAATGGATGACCCTTGATCACGCTCCGGATGACACCTTCCCCCCAGTCAAAATGAAACGCTGGCAAAGGTGGCCATGTTGGGTGACGCAGGTCGTCACGGAACGGGCACCCGCCTCTTTTAGCCGGTTTGATTTCCCAGGGACCGGGCGGGCCAGGGGGATGCAACGTGTTTTCATGTGTTTTTTTCTAGGTCGTTCAGTGTCGTTCACCGTTCAAGGTCGATCTTCGGGTCGGGCTTCCGCATCACCACGCTGGGCGGAGCCGCCACCAAAGCGCCGCCGCTCGGGGACGAAGGTTTGGGAAGGCGGTTGGGCATCGACGTTGTGGGGACCGAAGACCATTCATAGTGTGATTTCTTGGTTTGCTACATATACCCTACGCACCCAAACCCTATAAATTTGTAGGGTCGATGGAAAAACCTAGGGTTTCTGAAGGAAACCCCAGGTTCTCCAAACCAATATTAAAATACGGGTTTAGTACGGGTTAAATATGGGTTTAGTACGGGTTAAATATGGGTTTAGCACAGTTTAGAAAAGCAAGACCTGAGGTTTTAAGAACAAACCTGAGGTATTTTTGATTTCACAAGAATACCCGAGGTTCCGATTGAGACCCTACAAATTTATAGGGTTTGGTTTGCTACATATATATAGTATAGCCAGTATAGCTATATAATTATTAGAGGTCATATAGGTCTATAGTTCCCACATAGCTACATGTCCCAGGCATTTGAAACAGGTGTTTTTTGGCCGAGTTCCTAGAGCAACACACATTTCTCCAGTTTTGATTGGTCGATATTCGGCCGAGACTGGATTGAAAAGAACCTGGACGGCCGCCCTATATGGATCCACATACCGAACCAGGTCGGTACGGTGATTGGAGATTAATTATCGGATGGGGAGGGCCCAGTCGAACCAGCTCGGTGGCAGTGGATCCGGGAGGACTTGGCTCTTCGAGTCTTCACCGTGAACAGCTCTGTCTTCGGTTTCTTCTCCGTGATCTATATAAGTTTATTTCAGAAAGGGCAGAACTGTTTTTTTGGGGGCGGGGCCATGTCACAGGCATCGCCTTCGGCTGAAGACGAAAGAACAGGGGGCCATGTCACAGGCATCGCCTTCGGCTGGGGGCCATGTCACAGGCATCGCCTTCGGCTGAAGACGAATGCTTCAAAACTCAGTCTTGTGGAGGATTTTCTGGGTCCAGGCACTCCAGGTAGGGCATTTTTACACACATGACTCCTGAAACCACCCTAATGTAGGCCTTTACATGGGGTGTTTATGGTGTGTTTGGGTCATTGTCCGACCTCCTTGGCTTGTTGGACTTCGAGGAAGGCCACCTTCGATCTGCTGGTGGCAGAGCGACCTCCCGGCGCGCGCAGTGAGATGGCGAAGAAGTTGGGTGAGAGTGTATCTGAAGAGGAACACTACAGCGTCCTGGCAGAGTGGAACCGATGCTTTGCCCGCGGAAAGGTCGCAAAGGAAGCATCCAACGAAACCGTGGTGGATTTGTGTGTGGCAGTTCCTCCAAATGACCTCAGTTTCAATCCCTTTCCATTCGCAACCTAGACTCCTAGACATACCTAGCCCTTCCAGATCCTTTGAAGCTAGAGTAGCACATTCCCCTTCCACCATCTGCCACCACCTCAGCACCGCGCCGGCGCCGGTGCCGCCTCAGCACCGGTGCTCACTCCGCCCAGGCCTGGTGCGTTTGCCTTGCGGCCTCGAAATCGGGCTTCGCGACGTGGCCGGGCACGCGTGCCCGTAGGCGACCTGGAGCAGTTCGACAGAGGGTTGGAGGTGTTGATGAATTCAATCCCAGACACGACGTGTCTGGGACTGCCATGGGACTGCCGCCCCAGAACGACCCCCAGTCAACCACCCCTGTCCCGGAACGCACTTCCTGTCCCCCAAGCCTTTCAATCTTGGGCCCTTCAAAGGAAGTGGTATCTCCATTGGAGGAAGCGAGTTCTCCCACTTTGTATGTGGTACCTGTGAAATGGCAAAGGTCCAGCCAGCTGTAGAACTCATCCCACTACCCACTGAGCTTCTCGTGTCACCCTGACGAGATTACGGTTCCTTGTACCGGGCTTCCCCATGCAGAATGAACGTGGCGGCCACGACCGATCAGCTGCAAGACCGATCAGACCTATAGGGTTTTGCAAGAAAGGCCGAGCAAAGAAGGTTACCCTCCATGAAATCGGAAGTGGAAGTGGAAGTGTTGGCATTTTTCCGAATACAAACAGATGGCCAACTCCACTTCCATGATAGCGAGGACACTCTCGCAAAATGGATTGGTTCCTGGCACCTAGGTCGACCTTGGGAAAGTGCCCAGTTTCGTTGTTGGCCGGACCAACCACGACGCTGATGGAGTTGACCACCTGGTTCCGTGATGGATGGCCTGACCTACGCCCTTGCTTGTTTGTTTAATAGAGGGGGTGCCTCCAGGTATCTCCAGGTGAAGGACCAGCACCCTCCAACAAGCTAAGCTAAGCTGTTCTGGGACCCTAACAGGTTTCAGCGCACCTGTTGCCACGAGGAAGCACCTGTTGGAGGATCCAGGATCCAGGTATATGGTACCTGACATCAACCCCCTCCATTGCAAAAATACCTCATGGCACTATATGCCAAACCCTACTGGTCCGACATCAATCCTCCCCGGCTTGGCCAGGAGATCGCTTGGAGATTGCTTTGACATGCCTTTTGATTGCGGGGCCGAAAAGCTGCGTCCTGGTGATGGGTCACATATATGGGAGTCCTAAGGCCACAGAAATGAAATGAAGTCAGCGTGAAGATACAGCATGATACGATGTGATCCCCAGTGAACGGACACCTGCGGCCTCGCAGCAGGGCCGGTGCAAGGTTCCGGCGCTGCCGCTGCATCGCGTCGGGTCTTTTGTGCAGAAGTTGAACAGAAACTCATACCTGGACCTTCAAGGGGTGTCCAATGGAGGTGCCTTAGTAGTGTAGGGGCTTCCATTGGTGACCTGTTTGAAGGTGCTGGTAGAGTTTCTGTTCAACTGGCAGTTTTCCAGTGTTCGTTCAAGATCGCACCAGAGATGTATATGGATCGCCCAAGGCCAGCGCAAGAGCTTTTTTTCCGGAACATGATGAACAGATTGATTTTGTTTATACACACCCCATAGGTCAGCGGATGAGAGCCAATCTGACGGAGGGTTCATGGCGATGAATTCCACGCATTGGAAACACTTCCCAAGGTCGGCAGTCGGCATGGAGGAATTCCACCACCACCACCACTAGGGGCGCCTGTGCATGGTTGCAGGATTCACGTGAATCGTGACTCGAGGATTCAGCAGTTGGGTCAATATTGGATGATTGTCCCCGCTTTGCCCAGGGCGTTGGCCAATGCTAAGCAGCAAATGAGAGAGCTGCGGGGTGGACCCAGTGGCGCCAGCGTCGGGTGAATAGGGTTGTTGAGATTGAATGCCTGAGGGAAAGACCTGACGAAGCATTTCATGGCGCTACTCTTGGGGTGTCCAAGGAAGACCTACAAGTGGTGTAGGGTTGTCGATTGGTGAATCCTTGGAAGCAGCTTGGTTTGAAGGCATTTGCAGATTATTTCCCAATCAGTTGCCCTACGACAGTATTGACACACAGGAACAAAAGAACAGTTCATCGTTGCTGTGCCAGACCATACAGTGGTCAGGCCCAGTTCCAGTTTGCAAATACATTGCTCATATTCAGACAAAGATGTCAGCGACCATTGCCTGGAACCTTCAACTCAAGTGCTCCCTTGATGTCGCCTTGAGAAGATTTCAGCATTCCCTATCATTCCCTTCAATTTATGTGATTATCCAGGTACTGCGAAAAAGATTCATGATCAACACCTATGCCCTTAAGTCCTTGAACCATTGAAACAAAGCTGTGTCCTGCTTGCACTTGGCCCAAGAAAGAAGTACTGTGCTGTCACCAAGCAATCACTGTCAAGAGCTCGCCACTAGACTCACCACTGACTGGTCCTGAACAAAAATGTACCCAGACTCCATGGAACTGGAATATTGACCTACATGGAAACCCCTGTTGGTCGTCCCAGCCCAAGGTATGGGACATATTCCACTCCCATGCAGTCTAGACGGGGCAGGGAATGGTTTTCCGGGTGCCCGGCGGAGAAGGTGCTGCCGGAGCTCGCTTTCGTTCTCGCCAGGTCTCCCAATGGTGCCGGGCCACCGCAGCGGCGAAGCCCAGTGGAAAACGGCTCGAAAGCAGCCATCTTCCGGCTCCAAGTACTCAGACCTGAGAGGCTGAGAGAGTGTGACACGGAGATGGCTTGGCAGCCCCAAACAGCTTTTGAGAAGGGACTTACTTGGTTTCTGCAGGGGTGTGCGCAGGGGTGTAGCGACTTCCTTCGCGTCATATGTTTGTAAAAGTGCTTCCCAGTCAGCCAGTAGAGCCGTCGGTCAAAGGTGATCGGATAAAGGTCAGTGTTTTGGCCTCATCATCCACTGGGCCCTGGGATTGGGATATGCCTAAAGCATCCGGTTAAAACTGTCCCAACGCCATCGATCAGCGTGTTAAGGAGGTGTGAGCGGTGTGAGCGGTGGCCTGGACCTTCCAAGACCTGCAGGTCTTGGAGTCGCGGTCTTTCGCGAAGTTGGGAGGTTCGAATTCGGTCGAAGTTGGGGGGTCGTCAGTGGCCCTCTTATGTGGCCCTGGCTGACGCTAGAGTCGCTAGAGATATCCTACTGTGAGGTTATTTTGTGGGGGAGGCCTTTCCTCCAGTTGAAGAGATATACTGTACATGTAAGGCATTGTCCAGAGTAGTCTACTGGATTGATTCGGTGTGGGGGCTCACCAAGATACCTATTACCCATGGGAAGTCAGCTGACCCCAGCTTATCAAAGCTTTTCTTGCCGGCTGGTCAGGTCAAGGATCAGCGAAGATCATTTGGAGCCAGACTTCAGACGTACTGGCGCTTTGCTGCGCAGCCCAGCTGTTGCTTTGGCGTTGTGGGCCCACATCCAATGCGAGGAAATCTTAGAATGATCGTTGGCACCGCAGTTGAGCAACCATTCTGGCCTGTTTTGCGGATCGAAAGCTGAGAAGCTTCGCACTGTGCGGGTCAGGGGGAAAACATTGCCGCGCACGCCGAAGATGAACCTCCAAACAGCCCAAGGCAGTTTCTCAGAAAACTTTCAAGAAGGCGAGGGAAACACCTGAAGTATCATTACCCAGGTAGAACATTGAATCGATAGAAATATTAGACACGTTGATTAATGTGTTCAATTGGCTACCGGAAGCGACAGCAAGTCCAGTTGTGGAATGGGAACCAGAGGCCTTTGTGGTGAAAAGCTGAGGTCTCCAAGTCCTAACCGGGCTGGTGCCATGGTGGACAGCCAGCAAGCTCAGCAAGCTGCGAGGCAGAAGTTACCGCCAGGGGACCCTAGCGTGCCAGCGCTAGACAGAAAGCTTCATTGATTTGGACTCCCACTCACTTACATTGAAGTGGAAAAAAAACACTGTTTGTAAAGGATCATTGCCTTCCCAAAAGGCATGTTTTCATATGTCCACTTCCATGTGACGTGTTCGTCGGAGCGTTGAGATTCAAAGAAAGGCACGTGCACTGCGATGATTCGCTTGACGTTTGCGTTCACCAACTTCGCTTGAGGAAGGCGTTCAGGCGGCGTTCGCGTTGGGCGGTTCACTGCTCCAGCCACCCAGAAGTACCTGGAAGCCTCTTCCCCTCAGAACAAACTGCCAGATGCCTCCTTCGTCCTTCCGGCCTCGTCCTTCCACCCCCCTCTCCGGATCCCAAAGGCCTTTGACTCTGTCGAGTCGCACTTGGTCAGGTCACGACTCGGTGAGCACGAGCCAGAGAGGACGAAACCTGTACCGTGTGGGGCTGAGGAGATGTTTGTTGAGTGACGAGTCTGAAGGATGATTTCTCCATGTTGTTGCTGATTGGGATGTTCATGATGATTCATGCTGCCTTGCTGGATGAGGAGCCTGTCAACAGGTTGTATCCGGTTGATCCTTACCTGTGGTGGGGATGACAGATTAATCAGATAATAGTAGGGCCGGAGGTTACAGAGGAACTCAGCTGGTGGCGAATTCTTGAGCTCCAATGGTCCAACTTGGACGATGTGATGGGCGCTTCCCCAAGACCTCAGGCCGCCAAGCCCGAATCGCGCCGGCGCCATGGTGGACAGCCAGCAAGCTGTTGCTCGACAACAAAAGATGCAGATCGGGGCCTCAGCGGCGTCGAGGTTGATCGCTGACTGCAAGAGATCCTGCACCGCCTGGAGCTTTGCACCACGTGGAGCTTTGCACCACCTGGAGCCTTCACTGATTCCACCCACCCGGCACATGCGCGCTTTGGATTGGGTGAGCCATGAATGATTTTTGCAGCTCCGGAGATCCCTGGATTTCTTTCCAGATGACGCGTAGATCCACATTTTTAGGGATCCAAGTATATACTTCCTCAGAAGGTGACGACGGAGACACTGTTATGTAGCTTTGGGGGGTCCATGATTCGACATGGGGATGGGGGATGATGCGCAGTTTCTTGCCGCAGGTTGAACTCCTTAAGCTGATAGGCATTTTGTTCTTGACAGTGCAGGTGTGACTATGGTGATCTAGAATCTATAAGCTCCTTGGTTTTAACTAAGACTCACCATGGTAAGGCCACCATGGTTGCTTTGGGAAGTGGTGTTGATGTTGACGGAAGAAACAGTCACACATGGAGGGCAGCTGTGGATGGTTTGCTGCTACTGGTTCGCTTGGCAGAGGTGTTGCCGGAAGCCCCGTGCGAGGATGAACCGTGACATCAAGAATGGCCGAGACATGTTAAGACTGATCAGGCTACGGGGTTCTATATTCACACGTATACATATACTCAACAACAACATACAACAACTATAGATATAAATATATACAACGATAATCAACAATATGTTATTAGTCATAGTTTCAATATGCAGTATAATATGTATATTCATATGATAGTACATATTATATTGCTTTTACCAAGCAAAATGCACAAATACATAATACATAATATAATATACATATATATAAGCTAGTATATATGTCTAAGATTAACGGTTGGGAACTATAGTTTATACTCCCCGACTTTTAAGACAATTGGTTATAGTTACATATATATATATATATGGTTAAGCATACCCATTGGTGGAAGGCAACAAGGTTGAGAATCTCTTGGTGATGTTGAGGGTACCCTGGGATTACGACTGCCGTTACTTTCATATGCTGCACCGAATAGCCATTGTTTTCATAGATATTTTACAATGCAAAAACAGGTCAGTAATTTAGTTTATCACGAAAGCTAGCGAAGCTAGCTGGAGTTACTCTTGCGATAGCAAGGTTTCTTTCGACCGGGTGCAAATCCTAACCCCTGATTTTTCAGGTCGAAGACCCCCCCCCCC